TAGTAGTTTAGTTAGTACTAATTAAACTAAACTTTTAACGTTATTAGGTAGTTACTAGTAGTAGTACTATTAAGTTAGTACGACTTAACTAAATTAGTACTATATATATATATATATATATATATATATATATAGGGTGTGGTTTCTATAAAGTTGCAACCTTAAACAATCCAATTAAGGTGCACCTTAAATTTTTATCATAACATGTAATTTTGTTGTAAAAAATTCTTAATATTCTTAAAATATATTTTCATAACCTAATTAAAAAATTTTAAATTCCAAAAATAGCTAAAATCAAGTAGATCTATAAATATATGAAAATCTTGAAAATTGACGGTCTAAAATAATGTGTTGCAAGATGCACTATTTTCGCGACTCAAAAACTTTTTTTTTTCATATTCATACATCTCGATGTCGAGATGATCGATTAGAGGGTTTTTTCAATATTAAAACAACATTTTCGATAGATTTTTGAGGTCCATATGTGATTCTACGTTTTAAGGTTGCAACCTTATAGTAGTATTCCATTTTTTATTTTTTTACTAATTGGAATGATCTGAAATTTGGAGCGTGTGTACATCTTAGTGAGACGTACCTAATAAAAATATGAAAAAAATAATTCACAAAATATAAATTAGACCAAAATACCCCCACTAAATTATCGGTAGTATTTTGGTCAATTTATATTTTATGAATTATTTTTTTCATATTTTTATTAGGTGTATCTCACTAAGATGTACATACGCTCTAAATTTTAAGTAATTTGGATTTTTTAAAAAAAATGAAAACTTGAAACACTACTGGACAACTCTGGCCGAGTTATGAAGTTTGGATGATGATGATGATAGGTGAAATTACTTTTTATTTTCGCCTATAGGCATTGGGAAGAGTTTTTCTTCAATAATATATTTTATAACAATCTATGAAATATTAAAATATAGAATACTATATTATTATGTAATATTATGTAATGCTATGATATATAATTTACAAGAGACACATCTTCTAAGCCCAAATGAGAAGATGGCACATACCAAATTTTATATTCATACAATTTGTATATAAAAAAAAAAAATACTTTGAGATGTCGGATCTAAGATCAAACGATGAGTAGCTATCTTGATCAAAATTGAAGGGCTGGATGGTAGGGGAAGCATAGATCTTCTATGCCGTAGGGGAAATATAGAAACCTTTCCCATATCATTTAGTTTTTTTTTTAACTTTAGTTTTTTGTGGTCATGAGGATTACAGTCGGTCATGTGGTTATGAAATTATAATTGATGGACACCCACTATTTTTTTATCTTGGTCTCCTAAGATTTCTTGAACTTTTTTTTGCTATTATTATTTTTTCTTTTCCATCTTCTTTCTTTATTTTATTTATTTTTTGGTAGATCAGCGGGGAACTCATCCCCTATCCATTGTATCGATGAAGCTGAAGACATTATATTGTGACTCCCTATCCCCTTAATTACCAATGCCTTGAATACTCCTTTCATTCACTTTTGATCTTTGATTCATGATCCTGAACGGGATTGACATATATAAAATTATGCATATGTAATATGGATAGTTCAAAATAGTTTAACACATGTCATGATGATGTCTAACCATCATTATACATGTATATAATCACCCTCTTCCCCAACACGATGAACCCTGAAATTTTCTCATGTTGCTGTCATTTACCAACAGAGAATATTTTACTAGAACATATTTGTTTCAAACAAAATATGTGAAAAATTAGTGTAAAAATCCAACTCTTTTCATCATCTTTTCAAGTTCCTGGTTCATGAGGAACAAATAGATAACATGCTTGTAGTTTCAGATTTATCTTTCCCGGACGATGTTTGTTAACAATGGATTGTTTAAGTCTTATAGTTGTGGCTTTAGACAAGTTTCGAGTGTACAACTCAATAACTCGAGGAGTGTAATACTGATATGGATGTATCCTAGGACTGTGTAACCAGGTCCGATTGCATCTCGGATTTTTATTGAGTCAGGGGCATTTAATACCTCGATATTGTTAGATTTTCAGAGTCCCTAGTAACAAAGTTTCAGCAGAAACTCCCCTTAACAGAAGTCAACGTTTTATAAGTATTTAAGGAACGATCTTAGTCCAGTTAGACTCAGATGATTAGGTTTGGTTTTAAATTACAGGGAGATTAATAATCTTTGGCTCCAGGGAGAGAGCTACTTTATACCAATCATGGTCACCTTGATAGACGAGGTTTCTGCGATATCGATTGGACTGGGCGTTCTCTTAATCTACTGGCGGCTACTTTATGATAGTGGGTGGTAATTTAGTCATCTGAAAGAGCAATAAGCAGAGTATTGTAGCTTGATCTTCAGTAAAAAAGATGGGTGTTAATAGATTAGCTCCTATTACTCTAGTTGCTATTAAGTAACAACTTTCAAAATAATAATAATTTACATAGCAAAATAATGAAAAAGTAGTTCCTCATTCTTTGATAAAACATTATATTGCTCATAACGTTGAGCTGCAACAAAAAAGTCACATCAAGCCTTTCCCGCGAAAAGACATTGGCAATTTCAGCTACCGATTTAAGACAATCATGATAGCATAATCAACGCCACAAAATTTTTGAAGAATAAAACTAGATTAGAAATAAGAAAAGATATAAGATGGAGTACAAGGACTTAGATCACCTTTAGAAACGGGGGATTGCATGCCATGATACCAATCACCATTATTACAAGGAAGTCACAATTACTCCTAGCCATTAAATGTCAAATTATACAGCCTGGTGTATATCATAAAGTTTGAAAAAAATATTAGAAATTTCAGCTAATGATACACTTACATCCACCCGATTTGAAATCTAACAGACAAGAGTTATTGGTGTACTAAAAGTAAATAGTCTCTCTGTATACTTTTCCTAAAAATGGTGTGCCCTTGAAAATGGATCGAAATCAATGGGACTTGGAAATCTATGCATTCCTCCTCTTTTTGAAAATTCTTCTTGTTTTTTCTCTTGTTTCTTCTTTGTGCCCAATATTTGATGGTTGGAGTAAATTGAAGCCTGAGGGGTGGGAATGGAGGTGTACACTATTAGGGGGCTTCTGACCTCATATAAGCCCTTTTGGTCTTTCCAAGTTATGAAACTTGATATTATGGGATGTTGGGAAAGTATTCCTCCATTCACCTTCACAACAAATGACTTCTTTTCCCCCACATTTGTAAAGGAAAGGATGCTTGGCTCTATTGAGATTTTAATCTTGGATGGAGCACTCACATATGAATAATAAGTTGTATTTGGAAGGCCAACATTTGTAACTGTCCTAGTGAAATAACCATATACTGGTTTTCCATCTTCAATTCTTAGAGTCATAGATGGATAATTCAAGTCCCATGCTTTCCCCTGGCTAATGTCAGGGCAAGATGTAGTATTATCCCCACTAATGAGCCTGATTAGTGTCAAATTGTATCCTTGGCTGCAAAGGAATTCAACAAAGTCCTTCTCACCAGCATCATAGACCAAACCCGGATCTTTCGCCCTAACTGGATTGATATGACCAGCACCGTAGGCAAATTCAGCATCCTCATGTCTGATAGGATCCATCCTCAAAGCTGAAGAGAGTGTAGTACAATAACAAATGACAATGTTTATAAAGCTAATCAATGTTAATATAGCTAGGAGAGACATCAAATCAAAGACCCCTTTATTTAGTTGGGAGAAATGTTCACCATTTCAGCCCAGATATTGCATCATAAGGTCTCAGGTCTCAAGACTTAACGAAACCTTTTCACACAGACACGCACATAAAGAGAGAGAGAGGGAAAGTGAGAGAGGTATTGGGTTATGCGAATCGATAAATGGTCCACATGCCCAAAGAAAATATGTAAGGCGGTCACCATCTACCAGTGGATGGATGGGGATAACACCAACATCTGAATTTTTCCCATGGTCATGAGGATCACAGAATACTTCCATGAGTCATACCTGTTGTCATGAGGGCAGATTTAACAGCCGAACCAGACCATGACGGGTGGAAGGATTTCACATAGGCTGCAGCACCACTAGCATGAGGGCAAGACATTGAGGTCCCAGAGATCACATTGTAGTCCACGGGTCTATAGTCATCCCAATATACGGTTGCAGGGACCACAGGTGCCCATGCCCCCAATATGTCATTTCCAGGAGCAGTAATGTCTGGCTGTCATCTCCCAAGAAAATAAACACAATTTCACAAGCTTAGTTAGAAATGTTTTATCATCTCATATGTGCATGAAATCGTATAGATTCACGAAAACTAAGGCACTCAAAGGGCTCTTGCCAATTTTCTCAAAATCTATACTCTTGAGGTACTCTCAAATAGAGCTAAAATAATACTCTCAAACAATCAAAATCATTATCTATAAACACATGTGGGAAGGTAAATTCTTGATGTTTTACTCGCGTAATCTATCATAGGACACCAGCAGATTTCAGAGTTTATCTATCATGAAAGGTACTTGGAGAAGAGAAATTACAACAAAAGAAAAGCATATAGATGTTCTACTCTTAAAAGATTTGTAACTATTTTTCAGAAATAGGTATACCCACAAAAGGAGAGAAAGTATTGAGCTAACTATACCTTTAGAATGTCTGGAGAAATGGAATTCGGTCCTCTTGCAGAAAATGAGGTAACCACTGGAGCTGCAATGTCCTTCCATGTGTTGCTATATAATATAGTTGCAGTAGGATTCCTACATCAGAAAATTTACAAAAGAAGGGAAATAAGAAAAGAAGAAAAGGCATTATAATTTGAGTATATGTATTTTCAATTCCCTATGACCATATGAAACACTAGCATGATCCACATTTAACTTCCAACCTTACAAAAAAAAAAAATTGGAAAGAGGAAAAAAAAGATCTCATAGGATGCCACATGTTTAATATGTCCAGTATGCTATACAATTCCAATCATCCTTTCTTGATAATTGAGGTTGAAATATGAGCTCTTCCTCAACCCAAATCCATCAATGTCCACTCAAACAGAGGACCAAGTCAACTTAATCTTCCATGGTTGACTACTACCACTTGTTAAGGCCAAGTGCCACATGTAAATATATTACTTTGTGAACTTGTAAAATATATTACTTGCCAAGGAAAATGAACTTATGTTTCAAAACCAATGCCAAATTTTGCCATCAATGAGTATCATTATTCTGGGCATAAATGAAGTTACTACTTCATCATCATCATCAAATCCTTTTTCCAATTATTTGGGGTCGGTAAATGAAGTTACTTATGGCAAATATTATAATGGAAAGGTAGAGAAAGAGGAAAAAAAAAGCAGAAGACGAAGGAGAAGAAGAAGATGATGATGATTAGTTATAGTTAGTTACTCAGATGATTGGATGTAGTCGAGAATTTCTGAAGCATCATCGATACGGACAGCAGTTGCAGGGATTGGGAAGTTGAAGGCCTCGTCAGGTCTGTATTGTCGTTGGGTCATGATGGTTCCCACCCCTCCAGCGATTAGAACACCAGATGTGTCACTCAACAGATCACACAGCACAATCTTCCCACTTACTTTGTTGGCATTCAAGGTATCCGGCAAGCAATACCTAGCAGGCAAGAGACAAAGGGGAAGAGAGGTGTTTAAGCAGCAGAGAGAGGTATCAAGTAGAAAGAGTTTTTAACAAAATTTATTGTAGCAGCTAATTCCTCTTACCCAGAAAAGTCTCTGGCACTACCAGCGGATACGTTCACGGCATCTCCTCCATATATCAAAGGGAATGTAGTGCCGTTCATTGTAAATGAATTCACGGAGTTTCCCTGTCATCAAAAGGGCATCTCAATTTTTCCATAACAATTTCTATCTTGTGTGGCTCTTCGAAGATGAAAATAGGCTAGGATTTTGTTCTAAAATTTTACATATCAGCGTTCAAACGAGCATTATGGTGGACGTGTGGTATAACGTATGGTTATACCACGCTTCCATGGAAGCACAATGTACACTTAATCCTTCCAGTTAAAAGACAAGTATTTTTTATTTTTCTTTCTTTTGACAAATTAAAAGATAAGTATTTTCTCGATTTAAACTTTGGCATCCACCTTGGAATCACACGATGGATTTTTTCACAAGAAAATATTGATTTTGAGTTTCTAAGCGCTTGGATCAGACCGTCCAAAAGTCGACAGTCTCTTTTAGACAGTCTCCATTCAAACCGTCTATGTTTTTCTTTTCAAGTACACATATATGTATGAATTTGTCCATTTTTAACTCTGTCCTTGTATAAAGATTTATGAAAGACAGGTAAGAGAAGGCAAAACAGTCCATGGAAGCAAGCCAGAATCTTACAGTGAACACCAAGCCATTCCCAAGAACCACTTGAGTGGCAAACCTCCGGTCGATCGTGCTCGCAGCCACACTCAAAGCCCATGGTGCAACACTATTCACAGTCATTGGACCAGGTCCCAAATTTCCTGCTGAATTCGACGTTAAAATGCCCTTCTTCATAGCATGAAATGACCCGATGGCGATCACATCCTCAAAGTAATCCGTAGGGAACAAATAATTCATCGAAATCGAAATAATATCAACCCCATCAGCAATTGCATCTTCAAATGCTGCTAAAATGTCGACTGTGGGGCACCCTAAATACCAGGCCCATGACCAGCAAACTTTGTACACTGCAATCCTAGCACCAGGTGCACCGCCACGAGCAGTACCTTGAGCCAAGCCATAATATGAAGCATTCGCAACACTGAGACCGGCTGCAATGGAGGAAGTGTGGGTGCCATGGCCAACACTGTCACGAGCTGACTTGTAATCCACAGGGGTGTAGGAGTTATAGGAGTTGTAGTACCGTGCTCCAATTATTTTACTGCAAAAAATGTAGGAATGAAGCATGTCAGGCCATCTCAAGTTGTTGCATGTTCATATGCTGTAAAATCTCTGTTTGCATGCGTAGGACCCCACTTTATGGGTGTGGTTTGTATAGCACTAAACACATAAAGTAAGATGCACTTTCAAATACTAGGTTGGGTCCGTCTCTGCCCAGACCAAAATACTATTGATGCGTAGAGAGAATAAAACCACAAAAAATAAAAAAATAAAAAATTGAAATAATATTTCATCTTTCAAAAGTTTGAGAGGGAATCCACCCTTAAAACAATCTATTTCACAAGGCCAATTTTTATTCAATTCATAAACTGTTTTACAATGAAGAGAAACCTCCCTTTAAATAGACTAAAAAAAAAAAACCTCCCTTTAAATACCAAAATAGAAAAAAAATCTCCATGCACTCCCCTTTTTTTTTTCTCTTCCCTATTTTCTCTCATTCTTATTTTTTCTCTTTTAACTTCACATGCTAATAGATAGCCACATTTTTATCAAAGGAAAGCTCCCACGTTTTACTCAAACCTTCTCATCCAAAGCTAACCGATTGTTGAAAAGATAAAACTCCCCTTAGATTTAATTTTATCGTATTTACATTCCAACTAATCCAATCGAGACAAGATAAACCCAATATAATTATGCCCTCCTAGTTATCCTTGAACAAAAGAATAAGTAAAATAACCCTAACAATCTAAACTCACATAATTCTTAAAATTCCTCAAAATATAACCTTTAATAAAGTACATAAAAAAATCCAAATTAGGTCATTCCATGACTCCCTTAATCTCCTCTGGATGGAGAAAACTTGTCCTCGAGTTTTGAAGAGGGCTAAGATGAGATATACATCAAACTCGCATCCTTCTTTTGCCTTTTTCTCCTTTGGCTCTAAAAATATCAATGGTTGTGATACGTCGGATCAAAATATGAAGAAAAAGGGATTAATGCAAATATTTCAAACTCAACTATCCTTTCATCATTTATGAGCTTGTGATTTATATTGTCTTCGAATTTGTGATTGACATTGTCCTTTCATCCTCAAAAATCCTTCTCTGAGATAGGATTTTCTACAAAATTGTGATTGATATTGTCCTCAAAAACCTCCAAATCCAATGCCTTCTCTGAGATAAGATTTTCCACGTGATTTTCGACATGGATAAGAAACTTGGTATCAAGAATATCGGTTTTTATAGGAATGATGATATCAGGAATATCGTTTTTAATAAGAACGAGATGAAAGTCACCTTCATTGCCTTGATCTCCCATGTTACTCTCCAAATTCCTTTCACGCTGAAGTTGAGGAACCCATAGATCGACGTGATTTCAGGTCTACCTGTCGAGTCCCAGGTTTGCTCGGGTCTATCGCCACCCCTAAATTTATGTGAGACATGTAGGCTATAAATAAGAGCTTCTCTTTTTCTTTTATTTTTTTTGCCCTTTGTTTTCCATCACATACCTATATTGGTAGCAACATTTATAGTATTGTACAACATTTATGAAAACCTACATACCCACATTCTTCAATATTTTTCGTAATAATTAGAAATTCTTAAGAAAACCAAACATATTGACAACATTTATGAATACCGACATACACCTATATTATTCGGGTCAGGTCCGGCTAAATCTAGACCCAAACTTCTGGGTCCAAAATTTAGACACATACCCGGACCCGACCTCGGGTCTACTTTCGGGTCCCAGGTCTGATCGGGTCATTGTCACCCTACCATCAATTTTATGGCTAATACAGCGAACACACATTCATATCGAAATATTTGGTTTTAGTGGTTAGGACTCCCTCTCTTTCTCATACACATTAGCAAGAAAAAAGGCGAATACAACGAACACAGTCCAGAGTTTTGCAGAAGCTCTGATAGGCTGCATAAAAATAATGTGGACTGGACTGGGAGACTACACCTACATTTGCAAGGTTTTGCAACAGGAAACATCACTTCACACATACATATTTGCCCTCCACACACACACACACATACACGTTGTTAATGAAGGAAAAGATTGTTGTAGTGAAAGAAAGAAAGGCAGATTACTTGGTGCAAGTGAAGTTCTCCAATGATTGGCATATGCCTTTAAACCTTTCGGGTGGAGGGGCGAAACCCTCGTCGCTAAAGCTCTTCGACTCGGGCCAAATACCTGCCCAATTATTCGCAACATTGTTTGAGTCCCATGAAAGATGAACTCGAGGACCAATTTGAAATACCAAAAAGGCCATTGTAAGGACAAAACTTTGGAAAGAAAATGAATTGGATTGAGTTAACAAAGAAGAAAATGAAGATTTAAATAAATAAATAAATAAATAAAATGAGAAGAAATTGCATGTAAACCATGGATTGTACTTCTTCAAGAGGTACTTGGAGGCTTTTATGTGCATGACTTTTGGGATCCACCTTAAAGGGAAATTTATCAAAACACCCATGAGAGAAACAATTTAATATCTTATCCATATCTTTGATTTAATTTCAAAATATCCATGAAAAAATACAAGATCTTAAGTTGGAATAGTTGCAAATAGATAAATTGTTGAATAATTAATCTGCGGGTAGTTTGATCATTTTCCTTATCAAAAAAGACTTTTGACTTCCTCTAACACTTAGATATACTTGTCCTAAAATTAGAACGCCCGATGTATATCCATATCCTAACACATTTAATCATAGGATTTTTATTTATTTTTTTCAAAAACCCATGTAGTGCATTTATTTATTTACTTCTTTATTTATTTTATTTACTTTGACATACTAAAAAATTTTAGGTCCTAAATGTTTGCGTAGATTTTTTCCAAGTGTGTAAATGGATGATATGCTTTCGGGTAAGCATATAATCTTTTGGTGAAATGAAGTTAGACAAGTGATTTAAAAACTGTCGGTTCGACCGACAATCGGTCAACCCATTTCAGTTCTATGTATATATGGCCTAGTCTAGAAGGGAACCTGCGGTTTTACACAGTAAAAGGGCGATCCAGACCGCCAATTCACCGATCCATATCGATTTTTAGCCGGTTTACTTTTTTTACACTGTTTCATTGTTTTGTCCGCACGGTAAAACAGTGGTCCCAACCACCAATTCACCGATCCAAACTGGTTTTGTCCGTCTTTTAAATCACTGATTTAGACAAATATCCAAAATGTAGTGAGACGATCATAAAGTTGAAGGTACACAAAACCTGTATCAATCATTCCGATTACTACATCGCTGTCTGTTGGATAGTAACCACTATGAGATTGGGGGTAGCCCATGAAATCCCATGACCTTGTTGTGTGAAGCTGAACCACGGTATCAGGGAACACCGAAACCACACCATCCATTTCTAAAAAACTCCCAAGCAAAAAACATAGTGAATATTATTGCTATAAATTTACCCTCTCTCTCTCTCTCTCTCTCTCTCTCTCTCTCTCTCTCTCTACTCTCTACTACTACTACTACGTACTACTACTACTACGTACTACTACGTACTACTACGTACTACGTACTACGTACGTACGTACTACGTACTACGTACGTACTACTAACGTAC